GCATTTTGTTTAGATTCCATTGCCTATGTCCATTGAAAACTTGCCATCTACAGAGATGAAGATGTCACTTTGAAAACAGTTTTCTTAAGGACTGTCCAGGAGGGGCTGGCATTGTGGCCCAGTGGGTTAAGTGGCCACCTGCAACACCAGCTTCCCATATGGGCAACAGTTCCTGTCCTGGCTACTCCACCTTTTTTTTTTTTTTTTTTAACATTTATTTTATGTATTTGAAAGGCAGAATTAGAGACAGAAAGAGGGAGAGACACAGAGAGAAAGAATCTTCCATTATCTGGTTCACTTCCCAGATGGACGCATTTTGGAAGGGCTGGGCCAGGCCAAAGCCAGGAGCCAGGAGCGAGGCGCTTCATCCGGGTCTTCTACATGGGTGTAGCAACACAGAAACTTGGGCCATCTTCCACTGCTTTACCAGGTGCATTAGTAGGAACCTGGATCAGAAGTGGGGCACACAGGATGCACACCAACACCCATATCAGCTTAACTCAGTACATCACAGCACAGGCCCTTACTCCACTTCTCATCCAGCTCCCAGCTAATTAATGTGCCTGGGAAAAGCAGTGGAAGATGGCCTAACTGCTTAGGCCCTGACACACATGTCAAAGTCCCAGAAGAAACTCCTGGCTTTAGTCCTGCCCATCTCCAGCCATTGCAACCCACCTCTCTCTAACTCTGCCTTTCAAATAATAAATCATATATATATGTATATATATATGGACAGTCTGGGAATGTGGATCATCATCGCGGGCCAAGTTTTGCAGACTTTTCACTTCCTCCACTAGGTATAAAAACAGATCCTTAAAAAATATATGAAAAAGCCTGGAAACAACCCAAATGCCCATCACTGGGGGAATGATTAAATAAATCATGACACAGCCTCACCACACAATACAGTTATCTAAAAAAGGAATGAGAGGCTTGGGGCTTGGTGTTGTGTGGTGCAGTGAATTAAATCTTCACTTGGAGCACCCACATCTGATATCAGAATGCTAGTTTCCAGGCCACTGTGCACTTCCCATGCAGCATTCCTGCTAATGCATCCTGGGAGACAGCAAAGGACGACTCAAGTGCTTGGGCTTCTGACTGTACCTGGGAGACCCAGCCCTGGCTGTTGTGGGCATTTGGAAAGTGAACAAGAGGATAGAAGGTCTCTCTTGCAATTTCTCCCTCTGCTCTGCTTTTCAAGTAAGATGAAAATAAACATTAAAAAAATAAAAAGGAGTGAGAAATATGTTTATAGGATGATATCCAGAGTACACTGCTAACTCAAAAAACAAAGAAAATTAACATGGGGGAAAAAGGTGTATATGGAGGCTACCCAGAGGATGAACCATATGGATTTTATAGGATAAAACTAAACTTTAAATATATCCTACTGTTATATTTGACTTTTGGATCATATAAATATTTTGGAAACTTACAAATGTCAAGAAAAGCAATTGCTGAAAAATGAAAATAAAATGAGGGAAATGAACTCAACCATGTATGTAGTTGGTAGTTTAATCATACAGAGAATAATCCACCTGAAGCATGGTAATTTTTACTGTACAAAATCTCTGTAAGGATATTCCACCAAGGACATGAAACAAAACAAGTTTAAACCACTTGCTAATACAAGTAATCATATTGTTGATGATGGTGTTAGCATTGTTATTCTGAGAGAATTGTGCATTAATGGAGGATAAGTCAAACAAATAATTTTGTGATATCTTAAGTGTACCCATCCAGATTTCCTAAGAGTCACAGTTCTAACCATGAAAAGAAAAAAAAGAAATAGATGTACTTCTGTCCCCAGAACAGGTATGAAATTAATGACCAACTCAGAAATGAACACTGTTAGTATCCCAGCAACACAAAAGTATTTTTCTACTTTCTTGCAGAAATAGACAATTTTAGATCTGGAGCAGAAAATATATCAGGCAAATGTGGGAAATTTTGGCTAAGGTTACGTTAAATATGTATAAATCCATGTGTTCAGAAGCTATTTTTTGAGAATTCATGATTACAGCCCTGGTCTCTTCTGTTGAAGAACAGTGGTGTTTTTTTTTTTTTTCTTCATACTATCTGTTGAACTCTTTTACTTAGTGTAGGGTTAACTACATGATCATTAAGTAAACTGAAAATAGACTTTGTAAAAATTAAGAGTGGGAACCTGAGAGGGAGGAGGAGGAAGAGTTGGAGTGTTGGGGGGAAGTACCACCATGTTCCTAAATCTGTATATGAAATACAAGAAACTTGTATAACAAATAAACTTAAAAATAAAAAGAAGCCATTTTTACCAAGTGTACACAAACATTAATTTGTTATTGATAAAAATGCTAGAAACTAAAATATATTTAAAACTAGTATAAATGGAGAAAAGTAAGCATTCTGAGAAAGCTTTTCTTAAAGACATATATAAATTACTAAATGAAAAAAGAGAAGACTATGTTTGAACACTGCAATTCTTTAGCTATTAATAAATTAATGGATCCAGGTACTGATGAGCAGCAACTGCTAATTTCAACAAAAAAAGGGAAGCAATCAGGTACTTGATGTGTCTCCCGATAGGGAACACACGGTCACAGACTGGTCTCTGAAGTACTTTTTTACAAAAAACAGAACCAGAATCTGCTACATGTAGAGTCAACCAGTTTATAGGAAACAGAAGTTCCCAACACACCACAGCGAGACAAAGGAAGAAGGTAGAGCAATAGTAGCAGGTGGGGAGGAAGAAAGAAGTGGGGGGGTGGGGGGGTTGGAGAGCAATGAAAACAATCTAAAAGACACATCAATAAATTCTTATATGTGGATCTTAATTGGATCCTGACTCAAACTGTGTTAAAAAAAAAAAAACTCATGAAATCTCTCCTACAATTGGAAAGTTGAACACTGGATATTTGACATGAAAAACTGGTAGCATTTCTTAAGGTACAAGCATGGCAGCATAGACATATGTTTCAAAGCCTCCTGTTATCTTTTCCCAATATAAATATTTATGGATGATAATATATAATTCAGAGATGTGTTTCAAAATAACACAGAGCAGCAAACTGAATGGGGATATAGACAGGTTAGGACCGGCCATGGGTTAATGATCAGTGTGGATGTGCTAAGTATTTGGGGGCTCATTCTATTATTCCTTAGATGCATGGAATTCTTTAAAATAAAAGTTCTTTTAAAAAGTGTAAGACTTTCAGTAGCAAAGAGAACACTCAGAATACAGAGCTTAGATTCTAAATATAATTTGTTACTTCCAAGGAACCAGCAGTTCCTGAAGACATGGATGCTTTCAATTCTGAGAGCAGAAAATCAGCAGGGGAGCCTGGAACATCTTGTGCTAGAAAGCAAAGAAGTAACAGACTGATGAGGTCATGGATAAATGGCCCAGGAACCAACCCTTGATGGGGAGACTGATGACCAAATGTGTATAAACCCTAACATCAAAGAAAAGCGATAATGATTTATAAACACAGAATAAAAAAGGAAGCCATCAGTCTGTAGAGATGAAACAAAAAACAGAAAAGGGAGGAAAAGCAATTGTTACAGAAGACAGCCAACCAATAAACATAGCAGCAATAATAGAATGGAAAAAATCACCATTTCTCAAAGATCAATTTAATGACTCAGGTAAGATTTAAAAAATAGAAAGCAAAAATATTGGGTAATGGGTTTATATTCACCCATCCCAAGGACCACAAATTATGATTAACTACACTTAGAAGATGGATCTTTAGAAGGGAGTTCTGGTGAACATCTTAGCCAAGTGGGTGATCAAACTTCCATCACCAGAAAAGGGACCACCTGAGCCCCCGTGAACTTCTTCCAATGACACAATTAAAAACATAATCATCATTTATGCAGCAATTCAGCCCAAAAATATTTAACTTGAACCCAGTCATAAGGAAACAATCAGACAAAATCAGCAAACCGCTTTGGACTCTGACCTTGTGGTTAAGACACTGCACACAGCATCAGAGAACCTGTTTTCAATACATGCTGCCACTCCTAACTCCAGCTTTTTCCTAATACAGACCCTGTGAGGTGGTGGTGGCTGATGACGCAATTGACCAGGTTCCTGCCTCCCTCCTGGGAGACCTGGAATTGAGTCCTGGCTCCTAGGTTTGGCAAAAGCTGAAGGTCACTACAGGCATTTGTGAAGGGAACCAGCAAAGGGGAGCACTCACTTGCACTCTAAAAATTTTTATTTTAAAAATGTAATTTTATATATATATAAAAGAAAAGGAAAGCCAGAGGACCAACCTAGATTTAAGGAAACCAAAAGGATATGAAAAACCCATGTAGCATGTTCCCCTTGTTTGAATCCCAAATGAGAGTGGGGAAGAGAGAAGCCACCAAAGATAATTATGTGACACCTTTGGAAATTTTAACACTACAAAGCACATGGAATTATCACTTTTTTATTTATTTATTTTTTTTGACAGGCAGAGTGGACAGTGAGAGAGAGAGAGACAGAAAGAAAGGTCTTCCTTTGCCGTTGGTTCACCCTCCAATGGCCGCTGCGGCCAGCGCGCTGGGGCCGGCGCACCGCGCTGATCCGATGGCAGGAGCCAGGTACTTCTCCTGGTCTCCCATGGGGTGCAGGGCCCAAGCACTTGGGCCATCCTCCACTGCACTCCCTGGCCACAGCAGAGAGCTGGTCTGGAAGAGGGGCAACTGGGACAGAATCCGGTGCCCCGACCGGGACTAGAACCTGGTAATACTCCATTTCTTAACTACTGTAACTGTGCTTTGTTTTGTATGCCCTTGATAAGTTAAAAAAAAAAAAAAGTGAGTGTATTATAGTACAGCATACATACAGATAGATGAAAAAGAGAAAGCCAAGGTTATAAAGTGTTAACAACTGTTAAATCTGTCTGTGAAAACCACATGGTGCTTGTTAACTATCCTTTCAACATTTCTACAGGCTCTAAATTTTCAAAAAAAAAAAAGGCGATAAAAATTAGTTTCTTCTGTTAGTGATACCCATGCAACACACTACGTACAAGTAATGAAGTATCGTCGCCTTTGCTCTTCTGGATCTTATCCTTGGAGTTCTCCTGATTGAATGCTTGCTCAGCAAAGGATACCTCCAGATTGATGTCTGTTTCACAGGCAGGTGTGTCTTCCGGCCTGGGGACGATCAGCTCCTTCTCACCCACAAGGTTAGATGTCTGGTCTAGTGGGGAGAAAGATCAAATTCATGTTCATTGGTTATCCCTCTCATTTCTTTTTTTACTTTGAATGCATTAACTACATGAAAACTTTTGTAGAGAGTAGTATTTTCTGTAGGCAACCATTATTATTCAAAAGCAAAAAATACATGGACAGAATCCTACCAAGGTGCAAGGGAAGAGGGCCGGGAGATGGTGGTGACAAGAAATCTATCATTCAACTGTGAAATCTTTCTGTGAGATCCCAATTCTTAGACTGGGTCCAATTCAAAGCACTTCTGGAAGATATCAAACTCCTAATGCAAAACCTCACAAAATTCAGTAGATGCAAGTGCTGTTTTAATCTACACTGAAGAATTAAAAGCAAAAATAGAGAGGCAAGATCAGTTGTAAATCTCTCGTAGAACTAGGGACATTCCATCTAATTTCCTAACACCAAGAAATAATTTCTAGACTAAACCTCTTCCACACCCTGTATTTCCTTTCTGGAATGTTCTCTACCTGTCATAAAAATTCCAACACAAGAGTTCATGCCAAAGCATGATTATGCGATCCGCGTACAGAGGTACCTGGTACAGGAACCAAAAGGTTTTCTACCTGATTCCATCAGAAAGTATAAAAGTGCCCCAAACTATAAATACTAGTCAAGTAAGTTTCAGGAATTCAGCTGTAATGGAAATGGAGCAATGAGACACAAATCAGCTTATTACACAACACCAGCCCCTTTTTATTCATTCATTCATTCATTCAAAAGGCAGAGTTATAGAGAGAGAATCTTTCATCCACTGGTTCACTCCCCAAATGCCATAACTGTTGGAGCTGGGCCAGTCTGAATTAGGAGCCAGGAGTTTCTTCCAGGTCTCCCACATCGGTACAGGGGCCCATGGACTTGCGCCATCACCCTCTGCTTTCTCAAGCATATAAGTAGGGATCTGGATCATAAGTGGAGCAACTTGGACTTGAAGCAGTGCCCATATGGGGTTTCTTTATTATTTATCCTCTAGAAAAAAATAAACATTCAAAAATGTTTTGATGAAAGCACCAGCTTTGGGGCAGGTGTTTAAAGCTTGTGACACCCACAGCCCTTATCAGACGACCATTTCCAATCTAGGTTCCTGCTGGTGTGTACCCTGGGAGGCAGGATATGATGACTCACACACTTGGGGTCCTGCCACCAATGAGGGAGATCTCGTTGGAATTCTGGGCTCTTAACTTTAACCTGGCCTAGTTCTGGCTGTTGCAAGCATTTATAGGGAATGCATTAGCAGATAGAAGGTATCTCTGTTTCTCTGCTCTTCAAATAAAATTTTTAAAAGGAAAAGAAAGAAAGAAAAAAAAAAGGTAGAAGAAAATGATACCAGCTTTAAACTTTGGGGAAAAAAATAGCTCTAAATTTGATTATTTGTTGAATCTTGGGTTTAATGCAACTGACATCAGAAAAGCCGTATAACCAATATCCAGGATTACTAACGTTTTCTCATTGTAGACAACTGATTCATGGTATGAAGCTCTGAATTACAAAACAAACTCATGCCTCATTTACATGCTTGCAAACTAACATGCATACACACTGACACAACCAGGTAATAGATGGTACATTTAAAAAATGTCAGTAAATCTGTCATACATGTATTATTAAAAGTCTACTCTTGAGAAAAATGCGATTGCAATTCTTTATTTTAAAACAAAGAATTCTGTTTTGATCAAAGTAAAATTGACAAGTGAATATACATCTCATTTTATTCCTTCCATTTACAAAGCAGGAAGGGACTCACAGACATGTGACTCGCACAGTCACACATGGCAGAATTCAGAAGGGGCCTGCACTTGCTTTAACACTCTGCTTTGGAATAAAAACCTGAATACAGAAAGCCTACATTTCAGCTTGCACTGGCCTCGCAAATTATACAGCTGGAACTAACAGCATCTCACAGTTACCAAAGTAAGCATCTACCTATGCCAGTTCCAAATATAAGAACACATTGAAAACTCCTTGACAATATTTATCTGCTGCCATCTATGTTACATGCATGTTTTTCAACTTGTGGCAACATTTAAAAGAATGAGAAGAGCTATCCTGTTTAACGATTAGTGTGTCAAAGTATTAACACAGATGTCAAAATACACTTTTGCTTTTCCACTGGTTTATACTATTTTGCTTTAGTGTAATGTGTATATTGGTTTCCTAGGAAACAATTCTAAAAGAAAAACAGCTAATTAGCCATTTTCTTAAATTAGAAGCTACCTTTCCAGCAGCTGAGTGTTTATGGACAAAAATTTCAAAACTACTCTCTTTTCTTAGCAGCTCCATGTCAGTTACAGTCAACAACCTCCGACCCCTCAACCAACAATTGACTGGAGCCAAATTCAGAACTGAGTAATCACAACTAAGCTAGAACACTTTAAAACATATTAACCTCTCCATAATCATGGCAGAAATAAAATGTATACTATATAAAAGACTGAGTTCAAATGGTACTTCAAGATAGGGCAGCTGCCAGGAAAAACAGAGGCCAGGCCAAGGGGACCATCCAACAAGAGATGGACAGATCACTGGGCAATAACACGTCGAACTGATTATTCTCAAAGAGAAAAGAACACTGAGCTAACACTTTTGGCTCTTAATGTCCTCAAGCGTAAATAATACAATTTCTTTAATCTGTGATCTTTTGGTTTTGAATTTGGGTAACAGCACTAGGTAACAAATACTTCACAAATCTCCCTAAAGATTTTCAAGTTGTCCAAAGTATCCTGAAACACCTTTATGTAAAAAAGATTTTTTTTCCTATATGAAAATCAAAAAGAAATAAGAAAATCTATGTAACATTAGGAAATTCAAACTAACTTTTGGCATTTGTAATATTTCTAAGTGTATAGTCAGCCCTCTAATACTATGGTTCACATTCAAGGATTCAGCCAACCATATATGGAAACTATTCTGAAAATGGGATAGGCATTTCATGTTATGGTTAAATAAACGGTACTTAAATTTGAGAAATAACTGTACTGTACATGAGACTTTTTTTTCCTGGTCATCATTCCCTAAAGAATGCAGTGTAACAACTATTTACATAGCATTTGCATTGTATTAGGTACTGTAAGTAATCTAGACATAATTTAAGCCACACTTGTATGGGTGGATGGGACCGTGATGGGTGAAAATACTGTAACATTTTATATAAAAAAGGACTTGTGCATCAATGAATTTTGATATCCATAAGGGATTTAGGAACCAAACGCCCACATTACTGAGAAATGAATATATCACTGGGTCTTTCATAGTTGTATGATTTGACAAAAAGTTAAGATTGATACTTTGTGGTGGATTAATTAATTTGAATCCCAATTACCCTTGAATTATGAAAACTTTCTAAGTTTTTCAATCCGAGTTAAGTACTACTGACTGAACATGTCTGGAAATCCAAATGTGGGAAAACCTCTAAAATACACTATGTTGCCCAAGCCTTCAGGTTTTAAGCAGAAACAGCCCCACTTTAGACCCTCAGGCAGTGTTTGCATGCACTTCATTCTGAACTCGGATGTCAATTCACTGGCTGGGAGACAGTGTGGCATTGCCCAGAACAGGTGCAGAAGCCCCTCCTCCGTGCCTTGCATGCAGCCCACACACATTCTCTTGTTCTTCTGATTGGAGGCCCTGTGCCCACTTCACAGCATTCCAGCAAAAGCAGATGTAAATCAGGCAGCAAGTGTGTCACATTTCACTTGGCTGCTGGAAGTTAGGCCGGAAAGTACTCATCTAATGAACTTGTCTTCCAGAACTGCTGTTAGCATTGCCTACATCATGATCTCTGGCAAGGGAGGAAAATACCAAGAACGGACAATGTTTTCCTCAGTATCCATTAAACAACTGCCAGTCACTCCTTCCCCAAAGCCCCAAAGCATATTGATGTTGGCACAAAAGGCTGTTCTGTGTCTGCCGAGGACCTAGCTCTCTAGCAGGCCAGGGCCAGCTATGCCAGCTTGCTTGCCACTTCAATGTTTGCTGATACATAGGCTTGAGGAAACACCCAGTCATTTCATTCTGCTGCAACACATGTAACCAAGAAACCTCCACAGAACAGCAAAAAAGCAAGGCTGTTACAAGTCCTGCTAGCTATAAATATATGAGGGTACTTCAAAAAGTTTGTAGAAAAATGGAATTAAAGGGTAACTTTATTTTGGTTTATTTTTTTTTAATTCTTGCATAGATCTTTCATAACATTCAGTTTCCATGGACTTTCTGAAGATCCTTGGTATATATCTATGTGTATGTACACATTAACAAAAAAAAAAAAAAGAAAGAAAGAAACGTGTGCATGTATTTTTTAAAGGTAGGGGATGAGTTTTGAGGACAGCATGAAAGGATAAACAAAGACATTGGATGCTTCAAGACTCCAAAATGCTGCACATAACCTTGGTTTAATGCACAATTTTCATGGGAAGGCTGGAACCACTTCCCACTACTCCACAGTTCACCCTCTACTCTTCACTGACTACTTTCAAACCAAACGCCACTCTATTAATGACATGAACACCCCGATGCTGCACAACTCAGCTTTGTGATAGTATCTTAGGTAACAATTAAGCTTAAATTATTAAGCTTAAATCTATGGTGTTTGAATTTTTTCTCTTTGTAAACGAGTGAGTTCTAATTTCTTTCTGATAAGTACTAGGTAAGCCTTGGTATTTATTTTGATCCATGTCCTGAATTTATAATTCATTTCTATAATAATAATAATAGGAGAGAAATTCTAATCAATTACCCAAAATAATTTTAACTTTGTTATTTTAAGTTTTTCTGAACTTTCTAATTTAAAAATGTATTGATTTTTAGAAACTTGTGGTTTAACAGCAAGCCTTCACTTTGCTGGCCCTGCTTTCTAGCTCTCTGACCTTGAAAAAGTACCTTTATGTTTCTAATCCTCAGTTTTCTTCTCTGTAAAATGGATTAACAAAAGCACTTCCTACACAGAGTCCTTGAGTGTATTAAATGAGGCAGATATTTGGGCACAGTGCCTAGCACTTGGTAAGCATCAGGAAGATAGGTCCTCCTGTGCAAATGTCAGATCAGATAGGGATACACATTAAAAAAAATCAGTCTCTATATGCTAGCCTTATGCAATTACCCTCTTGGGAATTCATATTAGTATTTTAGTAGAATTTGCTTACTAGAATGGAAGGCGGATGTTTTAAAAGGTTATAACTGTTTGTTAGTCTAATTAAAGGGAAAAAAAACATGAGAGTCCAGGTCCAACATACCATCTTTTCCTCGGTATTTGTTTTCATTTGTTCTGACTGACTGCAACTCAGTGCCATCTGGAACCTAAACATAGAAAACGGGCCATTTAGTCATCTCCAACTCACAACCAGAGAAAGTGGAATTGTAAATATCTCCGTTACCAACACTAAGAGTACAAGAAATGTACTCAGAATTATAATATGCACAGCGGGAACTGCACCATGGCTAGAATCCAACAAACATCTGATTACCAACAACTTAAAAGACATAATACTAACTGCTATGGGGAATATGGAAGATGTCAATAGTGTCTCGCACACCAGAAACACCACTATTCAATAAAGGAGAAGAGACAAACATGTTAAAAAGCTGAAAATGTCCATCATGTGATTACTACAAAAACAAAATGTTGTCTCCATCCATTCAATGGAGTATATCCAACAGTAAAGATAAAATGAGGTAGTGATACATGCTACAACATGGGTGAACCTTGAAGACACTAAGTGAGAGGAACCAGTCACAAGTGGCCACATAGTTCATGATTCTGTGAATATGAAATATCCAGAACAGGTAAACCAGAGACATAAAGATTGCCTTATAAAAAAAAAGAAAAAGATTGCCTTAGAATAGGGAAGGGAATGAGAGGAACAACTAATGGGTACGAGATTTGTTTTGTGCACAAAGAAAATGTGCTATAATTGTGTTAATGATGGCAAATTTGTGAACATCCTGAAAATCTTTGAACTGTACACTTTGGGTGAATTCAAGCATGTATGATTTATATCAATAATGCAGCTTTAAAATACAATTGTACGTTGACATGTTGGTCGTAGAAATTATTCAAATATTAAAAAAAAGGCAAGGAATAAATACAAGATAAACTAAACCTAGGTTAGCAACAAGCACTAAAATGTGCAGAGGGACTGTTTCTGTCAGAGAAGTAGGTCAGTGACATCTGAAGAATGTAGCTTTCCAAGGGTTCATGGTCACGGTAAACACCACAGGCTCTGCTCACCCATGCGGCCAAACAGAACTTCTTTCTTTCCAGGAGTGGCTTTGGAAGGACATCAGGGATCAGAAGGTCAAAGATGACTAAATCTGAATGAATTATTTTTAAAATAATCATCTCATTGAATTTTATCTGTACAGAAAGAAAAATGGGGCGTAATAGTCTCTTTACGGTACATTTCAAGCTAGTGGCTAAAAAGGACTCCCCCTGCCCCGCCCTGCCCTTCTCCTGCAATCTGAGATCCTAGAAAAGCATTAGGGCAGGAGGTACAGACCACTAGTGTACCACTAGAGGCCAAAGGTACCCACCACAGTGGACAGCGCGTGGTTCCACAGTAGTTCTCTGCAGGACAGAACAATACCACGCTGCTCTCTCCCACAAGCCTACAGGGGGCCAGAATTCCATGGGACAGTGAGCACAGTGATTCTAATCTTGCAGAGGAACACATATTTTGGAGCATGTGGTCGGAATTGTTTTCCTTAGCAATAGAAGATGGCAGTGCAGATGGTACTCATTTCTGTATTGTATTTCCTAGTGTCAGCAGGAGATTCATGAGAAGGCATTTTAAGTGGGAGGGCTGAATACGCACTTACTCAAGTATAGAACAATTCCATGTGGAGATGGCTGGCCCATGTTTGCTTGGGGGATGGGAGACGTAGAGTGCAATTCCAATGGGAGGCAGTGTTTCAATTACAGGCATGCAATGTAAGCAAGCTAACATTATTTTAATTTACTTGTACTATTTCTTTCTTAATGATTCCATCAGATGATACAGCCTACCAATTGCCTTGGACTCACACCATGTGTTTTAGACATCACCAGAAATTTGTTCCAATAATGCTGCTTTTAGCATCGAGTAGCAACATCCTCTTGGAGGCTGGCGGGAATCCTACTGCATGTATCCTTCTCAGGCTCAGCTCTATGCTCCCTCCCCCTGTGAACTTCCTCTTAACTCCCTAGGGAGGGTTCTTTACTGGGAAGGAAATGTCATAATACTATATTTCCTTTCCATTCATTTTTCTCCAGCTGCAAACTCAGTTGAGTCCTACACACTAGTATATGTTCCAAATGACCCCAGGGTGGTAGGCAAGCGCTTAACTTAAGCAAGTGCCTGGAGCAATGTAGTGATCCCTGAAATCAGGTAAATGGACTGGATTTGATCCACAATTGGCTATGCAAATAGAGTAGCAATCTGCAGCCAGAAAGATCTTTTAGAAGAATGAAGTATCTACTAAAAGTGAAAAAATCGCTACATGACAGAAAGATAACATACTTTTTAGCCCTTCTTTCCTGCTTTTTAAAAATAAAGAATCACGAAACTTATTATCCTTTATTTATAAAGTGTCAATAGGGCCAGATATTCATAATGTTTACTATCAGGATCACGTGTGGAAACAAATCTAGCAGGATAGAGAGTGGTTAGAAGCTTGTACTTCAGAGTGAGACAAATCCAGGTTTGCTATCTATGCAACATTGAGCAAGTTGCTTAAAGTCTATGAGCCTCAGCCACAGAATGGAAATGCTAATCCCTCCCTCTCAGGACAGCTGCGAGGATTAAATGAGATAAAGCATGGAAAGCAGTTAGCACAGCCAGTGTTCAGTGGCAGTGGCGGCAACTGTGGTTATTACAGCCATTGCTCAAGAGTCCTTCTGTTTGTTCCCACTCTAACCACCCCACTGGGTCTTCCAAGCCAGAGCTCCTCGGGGCAGAATGTAAATCAACTTTGACCTTAAGAACACCATGGAGTTCATCTGGCTTTTTTTTTTTTTTTTTGTGCCAATTCTCTTGAAGCAAGAAGGAATGACAATTTACATTCTGTGCGAGCTTTTTACTTCCCCCTGGGTGAATAATAAGTAAGCCACAATCAGCTGCGCCAAGCAGCACTCTTCTAGGCCACGCAGGTCTGGCATTTTTACCATGCTTCCCTTGATACCTCTGTATTCATCAGTCCCTCAGACTCTAACTGCCTCCAACAACTTCCATTCATAAATTAATCATTTTCTACGCGCTGGCCACAATGCTAAGCACTCGACACAAAGGGCAAGTTATTTCCTGCAATTGTAGCTCCTCACACTCCACGAGCATCCATCTTTAGATGAGTCTTGGGAAAAATCAGATATTCCTGCAAACGTTAATAGATAAAGGAGAAGCCTTCTCTGTCAGCTCTTGTGGGGTTAGAAGCGATTCTATCATCCCCTAACGAAGACGTATCACACTGGATGTTCAGGTGCTTAATTTTCTGCACATTCCACAAAGCTTGTAGAAAGGCAGGGGATCAAGTCCCTCTTGTCCACTGCCAGCATGAGCACTGGTGACTGGCATAGCAGGGAACGGCAAAAAGTTTCGGGAAAACTGGAATTAAAAAACAGAGTTAGCGGCCGGCGCCGCGGCTCAATAGGCTAATCCTCCACCTAGCAGCGCCGGCACACCGGGTTCTAGTCCCGGTCGGGGCGCCGGATTCTGTCCCGGTTGCCCCTCTTCCAGACCAGCTCTCTGCTGTGGCCAGGGAGTGCAGTGGAGGATGGCCCAAGTGCTTGGGCCCTGCACCCCATGGGAGACCAGGAGAAGCACCTGGCTCCTGGCTCCTGCCATCGGATCAGCGCGGTGCACGGGCTGCAGCGCGCCAGCCGTGGCGGCCATTGGAGGATGAACCAACAGCAAAAGGAAGACCTTTCTCTCTGTCTCTCTCTCTCACTGTCCACTCTGCCTGTCAAAAAAAAAAAAAAAAAAAAAAGACAGAGTTAGGGTCGGGCATTTGGTGCAGCACTTAAGACACCCATGGGACCTGTGCATCCTATATTGGAGGGCTTGGTTCAGAAGCCTGCTCCTCTGCTTTCCATCCAGCTTCCTGCTGATGTGCACTCTGGGAGGCAGCAGGCGATGGCTCACAACATTGGGCCCCTGGCACGTACATGGGAAACCAGGAACAAGTTCCTGGCTCCTGGCTCCAGTCTGGCCCTGTCTTGGGTACTGTAGGCATTTAGGGAATGAACTAGTGGATGGAAGATCTCTGTTTATCTATTTCTGTGTCTCTGCCTTTCAAATAAAAAAGTAAATTCTGAAATAAATATAATTTTTTCATAAAATGCATGTTTCCATGAACTTTTTGAACGCCCCTCATACATAATCTTAAAACGGGTTTCCCCCAAAATAAACTTCTCTTTTAATTTCATTTTTCGGTGAACATCTTGACACAGCCTTGCCTAATAGGTGTTCACGATCTTTTTAATGCATTGATTTAAACTAGATTGGTTCAATGGTTTGTAGGCAATTATTTCCTTTGCCTTACCATCGAAAGACACAACTTACGTTTTCTTTTGATTCTGTCTGTTGAGCAAATATGTCTCTGACGTCTGGAATCTGGTGCTGTTTGTTTTTTTTCCTCAAGGTCTGGGAGACCGTCTCCACCCGCTTCTGCACCGCCGCGGCCTGGGTCCTGGTTAGTGTTGCTAAAAACACCATGCTTTCCTGGGGGTCTCCCGCCGACTCGCCAACCAGATTGGACAAGCCGGCCTCTTTCAGCCACTGTTCTTCCAACTCGCCCTCTATGAGAGAAGAGCCAAGTGGTATTGAAATCACGAACTGTTAAGAACTTTCCCACTTTCTAAGCTGCCTGACACTTGTCCTGAAAGCTGCCTGTTGTATGTAGCTCAGCCGCAGCGCTGAGAATCTTCATCTGGAACTTGGACAACTGCCATCCACTCCAGCCACAAGGACAGTGAGTTTTGAGTCGATTTCATATAGACACAATTAGTATTCGTAAATGACTTCACTTGTAATTAACCTCCATAACTTCCCTGCAGATTAACTGGCGACGATGAAACTGCTCCTCTCGCTGAGATGAGCCAGCCATGGATAGATAACTTCACTCACCCAGTGACAAAGGGAAGTCAAGGCTGGGAAGACAGATTAATGCCCACTTCTCTGGCTTACACTCAGCACGACTTCAAAGTCCAACACTAATTTATGGAAAGGCTTGCTTTCTCTTCCCTCAGCTGATGGGGAGCACGGCAAAGACAGACATCTGGGCATCAGGAACTAATGAATGTCAAAATTAATTTTTTAAAGATGTTTATTTATTTGAAAAGCAGAATGACAGAGGGTGAAACAAACAAAGAAAGAAAAAGAGACAGAGAGGGAGAAAGAGACAGAGAGGGAGAGAGAGACAGAGAAAGGATCTTCCATCTACTGGTCTACTCCCCAGATGGCCACAAGGGATGGGACTGGGTCCAGACCAAATCCAGGAGTTTAGAATTCCATCCGGGTCTCCCACATGGGTAGACTAGTTGATCATGTACTTGGGCCAGCATCTGCTGCTTTCTGAGGTGGATTAGCAGGAAGCTGGATCTGAAGTGGAGCAGCTAGGATTCAATCTAGAGCTCCAATATGGCATGCTAGAGTCACATGCAGTCGCTTAACCCGTGCAACAATGCCAGCCCCTCAAATATTTTTTATCTGATGTTGGTTGAACCCGTATATACATGTTTGACTGTTTTATGTTAGATATGAGGAAAATTATAGAAAAACAGGACAAACAGAGCAGATTCACTCCAAGCACCACATTTATTATGGGAAAAAAAGGTGGGAGGGCAATGACCTGAGACACAGAAGACCAGACTCTATCCAATATCTGCACCGCTAAATCACCCAGTCCCATGTGGAGTGTAATTTCTCATCTGTAAATAAAAGCAGAGCTGGAGGGGCTATGGAATAACCAAAGCTGAGAATGGGAAATGGGGAGGGCTTTGAGAAGCACTGTGTCGCGTGGCAGAGCGATGCCTGGTGCGTGTCTAGCCCTTTACACAGTACACACTCCCACTCCTTGGAGGCAGAAATCAAGTATTAACTTTGGCTTCAAGAAATAACATCCAGGGCTGGGCGCTCTGCATGCCAGCAAAGGCAACCTGCTCACTGCCATGAAAAGTCAGACAGCCATTATTATTAACATTATTATTAATGCCAGCATTCCATATGGACACCATTTCAAGTCTTGCCTGCTCCAGTTTGGAGCTAGCTCCCTTCTAGTAGCCTGGGAAAAGCCGTGGAAGATGACCCAAGTTTGGGCCCCTGTTACCCACATGGCAGATGCAGATCAAGTTCCTGGATTCGGCCTGGTCCAGTCGTGGCAGTTACAGCCATCTTGGGAGTAAACCAGTAGATGGAAGATACCTTTCCCCTGGTCTCTCCTGCTGCCTCTTTAACTCTTTCAAATAAATAAATCTTTTAAAAAATAAAATTAGGGGCCGGCGCTGTAGTGTAGCTAGCGGGTAAAGCCACCGCCTACAGTGCTGGCATCCCATATGGGCACTGGTTTGAGTCCTGGCCGCTCCTCTTCCCATCCAGCTCCCTGCTATGGCCTGGGAAAGTAGTAGAAGATGGTCCATGTCCTTGGGCTCCTGGTCCATGTGGGAGACCCAGAAGAAGCTCCTGGCTCCTGGCTTCAGATTGGCTCAGCTCCAGCCATTGCAGCCAATTAGGGAGTGAACTAGACCTCTCTCTCTGCCTCTCTTTCTCCTTGTGTGTAACTCTTTCAAATAAATAAGTAAATCTTAAAAAAATTAAAAATTAAATTCAAAGCTCATGAGAAACAGAATTAACAGATATGCTTTTTAAAAAAAATTATTTTCTTTTTAACTCACTATTGGTAGATGTTTTTTTAAGCGATACTGTAGCAAAGGAAAAAATTCTACCTATACAGATTTCTCTACTTAACTCAGTCCTAAGGAATTTGGTTAAGTAGTCTCTCTGTTGAACGATGTCTCTTTCAGTGGGTCACAAGGCACTGGCTATGGCTCTCACTGCTTTTGCCATTGATACTTAGAAACCAAAACAGATTTACAAATTTATGGATGACATGAGACACTGAAAGGAGGCTAAGAAATAAGATGCCAGAGAATTGGGCATCAAAAATTTGGGAAACTGCTTGAATCTGAGATTAAAAGAAACCATATGAAATTTAGCAGAAAGAAAAATTTAACATGTTTCTTCCAGAAATCAAATACAGTAGTGAAGAGTTTAGGAAACACAGCTAGTAAGAGACTTGAGAACAATTGTGAACCAAATGCAGGAAAGAAGCAGATTGAAAAGCTAAAAATGCTAACACCGCATTTCACTGTCCAAATCCACATCCTTAGAATAGCTAGTGAAACAAGTGGCATCACATGCAACGTGGAGTACCATACTATGAATCACAAAATGACCAGGACCACAAAGCTTTGAAAACACCCATAAGAATTGGCTAATTTTCCTCCTAGAGAAGACGTGGTTAGTAATGAGATGACTAATCCTAAATACTTGAAAGGTTTTCATATAAAACAGAATGGACTTCCCAAAGGCAGAACTAGAAGTGAGTTCGAGTTAGAAGAGAGCAGACTGTAAACCCATCAATAAAAACAACTCAAGCTGACTGCCCACTGGAAAAACAGGTTCCCTGCAAAGTAGTGTGCTTCTCATCACCACCTCCACTTTCCAGAGAGCGAATGACCTCGTGACCAGCGACTGACTGAGAGAATTTCAAACACCGAGTCTATGAGACAGTAAGCTTAGCCAAGAAGTGTAGCTGTGTCCATGATGAAAGGGATTCATTCGTGCCACTTGTATATAGCAGCTGTATCCATCCGTCTGTCACAAATCATTAAATGGCACCTAGCATCTTTCCTTGCTTGTCCTATTCGTCCTTTCCATACATCCATTTCCCTTAAATACATATATAAGCAATAAAAGTTGTACTTCTTTACCATCAGGCTCCTTGACAACAACCACTTCTTGATCTTGTCTGTTTTCCCTAGATTTCTTGATATGTTCTAGCTCTGTGAAATAGTCCTCCATAGACATTTCATCCAAAGAATCCTGGGAACTTGACCGATCGAACAGCGGCTTCTCTGTGACTTTGGTGGTGGTTTCCTGGTTCATGGTATACTGGCCACACCTGCGGCTATACATGCAAAAAGAAAGAAAAGATAGTTCATTTTAGTACCGAGGAAGTAGTACAGTTTCCCAAATATCACAGCCCTGAGCTGGAGAATCTGGCAATTCTGGATTTTCTCTTTAATAACACCAGATAGATAGATATGTTTTAAAACGGTTTACCTGGAGGTACCACTGATTAGAAAATGATTGCAGAATGAACACTTTCTCCCTTTATTATTTTGACTCATCTAAAGCGGAAATTTTGCTTTAGAAATGAGCAAGAATAATCGTAATGATAGGATATTAAGTAATTTAATAGAGAATAAATTTCACCCAACAGCTAGTATTTATCATTTATATTTATAAACCAAACTCAGTCAGCTCTCACACAGCAAGTATCTGCCACCACTGAATGAAGCACCATATGAATTTCCAATTTTTTTGAAATGTAAATAAAAAGTTGATTTTTAAGTTTGCAGTCACATTCTATATAGAAAAAACTTTTTAATTTCTACTTATAAACATACCCAGGACATATATGTATTAAAAATTTTAAAATGTGATAAGCTTTCATTTATTGGTACTTCTGAATCACTTGAAATTCTCAAATATCTATTTCTTAGATATTATCTATTAATAAGACTAGCTTGAATAAATGAGAGTATTTTTATGACTTGGAGTTAACTTTATTTTCCCCTTATAATTTACATCTTACCTACCTCTAAAATTGAATTATGGGAGTTAATAACAAAAATATATATATATTAAAGAATTAGGAAATTTTTGTTATTTGCAGAAAAAGAAAAACAGCACAAAATTATGTAAAAGGAAAATTTAAAGCCCTGGAACATTTCTTTTCCAAGTTCACAAGAATTTCAGTATCAGTGGAGACCATAATTGGTGAGTAAGTATTTCCATATTTTAATTTTAAATTGCTCTTTTATCCTCCAAAAAAAGACTTCTAGGAAATAATAATTTACTTACTGTACCTAAGTAAAACCAATCAAAAAGAAAAAGAACTACAATGCAATTCTAACAATGTGTGAACATTCTCACATTTAAATTAGCCTTCCTCAGGGTTGCTTAAAATGCTAGTATTCTTTAAAGATGTACTTATTTATTTTAAAGTCAGAGTCACATACAGAGAGAGACAGAGTGAGAGAGACATCTTCCATCCACAGGTTCACTCTCTAGATGGTTGAAACGGCCAGTGCTAGGACAGGCCAAAGCCAGGATCCAGGACTTCTTCCAGGTCTCCCACAAGGGTAGCAGGGGCCCAAATACCAGCCATCTTCTGTTGCTTTTCCCTGGCCATTAGCAGGGAGGTGGATCAGAAGTGCAACAGCCACATGAACCGACGCCCATATGGGATGTCAGAGCAAGTCTAAGTTGGCGGTTTTACTTTCTATACTACTATGCTGGCCCCCAAATACTAGTATTTTAGATTACATAGGACAGAGTGTCACTAAACACTGAGAAAATCTTTAAAAAATATCAAATAACCTAATTGCTTATTACTGTATATAAAGGCAGCATAACTCAATATCTCATTGTCATATTCCAATAGCCCCTTTTCTCACTTTAAAGACAGTTCTCTCCCTTTTTTTATACTTTATTAATGCCGGTTGCATGAAAGAATAAACAATGACTATAATCTCTCCCCTACTGCAACCGGGGGTGGGGGAGAGATGGGCGGGTATTATAACCAGGGCCAAATGGAGTAAGCCTCGGCGTGTTTGTGAATCTCTTTCCTCAGTCTCCATTGTCCATTGTCTGCCTCCTCCATCCCTTCATTCAAGGGCCACTTCCTTTCTCCTTGGCCCCTAATCACCCTGTTTACATCTCTGCATCCCACAGTCACCCCCTTGTATGTCCCTAATGGTTAATATAGACTCAGTATTTCCGCTGTACAGTTTTTACTCCTGATCCTTAAAATAAAACACAGATGAGAAAGTTCTCTCACTTAAAAATGAAAAACCAATAGAGATGTGTGTGTGTGTATGTGTGTGTATTTTGGGGATCAGCAGCTCAACTTTTTTGTAGTTCATATTCCTTAATCCTGTCTTACCAGGATAGGTATAGCTAATTTACAGAATGCCAGCCTGATTCATGTTTTGTGGAATTGTTGTCAAATATATAGGTGCCCACTCTTGCTTTTGTTTTATCTGTTATTACAGTGCAATGTTGTCTAGCTAATTCCTGTCTCCTACAACCTTTAGCCCTCATGGGAGACAACAAAAAGTACTGTGAACTATTTGAAGTATAATAGCTAATGCCAAGTAATTTGGTTTATCTGCTCACAGGAAAGAGGTACAGTTGAACTAGAAGTACATCAAGCCTTTCCGTCCTGCAGGAATGTGTTTATTCTGGCAAGAATTTTCCAGTAAATTTCCATTAAGATAGCATGTGCAGAAAAAGGCAAGGGCATTGAGTAGCAGCATTGTTACGTAAATATACCTTCTATATCAAGCTCTGCTTTCAAAATGCACATAAAGCAAAAATCGAATAGTCTAGTACTGATGAATTGACTCAATATTTTGACTTTAATAAGATTCAGAAGCTGAATAGGTTTGTGATAACCTGAAAATACTGAGTCATGAAAAGGAGCGATTTTCTTTTGGGCGATGGATGGGGAATGACTGGCAACTACTGCAAGACAACGTTTTTTTGTTTTTAAATATTAGACTATGAGGAGTGGCAGGGAGGCAACCATTCAGTAATTAACTACCCTCTTTAGTCAACTTGTCACATATTTTTATTTTCTCCTAAAAACATCAGTGAACATTCTTTCAGTTGACATCAGTCACCACGCTGTATCACTTCTTTTCTTGTATAGAGAATTATTTCCTATTTCCTAAAGATCCATGCAAGTGCATGGTGCTCAAACCAAACAGTTCATACCACAGGAAACTGCCAATTATCGCCACCTGACCTACTAGCAAGTGGTTGTTCCAAGTTCTCACCTCACTCCAGAGCCTTCTGTGCTAACCATCCCACAGCCAGGCTTCAAGAACTCACATTTCTCACCTTCTGCAGCTCTGACAGGGCTAGACACTGTCCTCTGAAATAAGTTGCTTGTGTTGCTCCACAAAGAATGGCTCCTGTGGCCAATATCGTGGCATAGTGGGTAAAGTCACTGCCTGCAACCCCGGCAACCCTTATAGTATAGATTCATGTCCCAGCTGCTCCACTTCCCATCCAGCTCCCTGCTAATGGCCCAGGAAAAGCAGCGGAAGAGACCAGAAGTGCTTGCGCCCCTCCAAACCATGTGAGAGACCTGGGTGAAGCTCCCATTTCCTGGCCCAGCTCCAGCTGTTGCAGCCATTTGGAGAGTAAACCAGTGAAGATTTCTTTTTGTCTCACCTTCTGTCTATGTCACTCAACCTTTCAATCTTTTTAAATATCGCTCCTTAGCTTGCCAGACAAGTCTTATTCTTCCCAGCACATCACAGTATTATAACTTTGCCTTCTTTTCATGGGCACTCACACTGCCAGCACATACAAACTTTAGAGACCCTTACAGACCTTCATGGAATATTTCTTCTTTCTCATCTGGCTAGAATATCCCCCATGCTGTACTTATAAAATTGAGGAGTTCATTTTTGTTATATTTGCCCAAAGTATATGTTGTTCCATTTTTCCATGGTAATTTTTCCGCCTGGTCAGGGAATTTCAAAGGTATTGATATTTGCCCAGGGTGTTAGTAGTGCCTGTTAGCTATGTGGTCAGAGAGGATGTTAACTAGTCTGGCACATTCTGTTCTTTGCCAGGAGGTGAGAGTTTCCATTTATCACACTGTGGCCCGCTAGAAGACTGCAAGCAGATTGATGATTCATCCTTAGTATCGATGCAGTCAATGAAGGAATGGGAACCCGGACCTGGGCTTCTTCAGTACTAGATGATTCCAGCGCTGCTTGACTACATCTATGATCTTTGGCAAACTAGGTCTGCACTCCTTAGTTTTCCCACCTCTAAAATGGGGAGAATAGCAAGAGCCTCCAATGCCTTGTGTCTAGAAGCTATCAAATGCCGGTTGCTGCTGAAGTGCTCCAAAGGTTAACCACGAAGGGACACACAGCCAATCTCACTGCTAACACTTGGACTGCCCCTCCCAAAGTCCAATAGGTCACCTATTGCCCTCTTGGAAAGTTCAGAGGAATCATTTGTCCTCTCGAACCATTCTCAAACATTTTGGTCACTGAAATCCTTTACAAGCTTAAAATTTCTGATAAACCCCCAAGAGCTCTTACTTATGTAGGTTTGATTAATATTTACAGTATTGGCTGATAAAAGTATCTATCTTAAATATTATTCATTTGCCAAATAGAATAAACAACTTAAGATACATTTTTTTGGGGGGAAACTATTTTCCAAACTGAAAAATAAAAAAAAGTGCGATGAGTAGCACTGTTATACGTTTGGAAGCTCTCTTTAATGTCTGGTTTAATGCAAGCCATCTGGATCTTCACATCTGCTTCTGCGCTCAATTGTTTGTGATAGTGCACGTCCCACAGGCTCGGGGATACGCGCCGTATTCTCATGAGAGTATGTGAGCCCAAGAAGCAAACAGCATCTTTGTGCTATTACAAAAACCTTTCTCATCTCCAGGACCCCTAAAAGGGTCATGGGGGCCCCCAGGTGTTCCTGGACCACACTTTGAAAACCACTGCTTCAAGATTTCTCAAACACACCACCGAATGGATCTGAGAAGGCGACACTCCAGAGAGCCCTACGAGAGCACACATGCTCGCCTAGTGACTCTTGGCCTACTTCTTTGTTTATTTTAGTTCGGTTTTGTAGCCTTTCATAAAAACTGGGACTTATTCCAATGATACTCATATTGCATTTAAACTGTAACGACAAAGAATAAAAATATCATTGAAAAAGGCCTGCCTTGCCAATGTCCTTAATCATTTGCTTGTATCCATCACGTGTAGTGGGGTGGGGTTGGAGGGGATCTCTCTCAGCTTCCCTTTCTGGCCAGCGCATTTGAAAATGTCCAGGGGCTGGTGCTGTGGCATAACC